ACCCGCCCTCAATCCGTGAAACTCTTGTAAGTTCTTCAACTTCAAAATCATAAGTGGTGCGGAAGTCTCAGGCGAAACGCCCGGCCCGCCCTAAAAACTGGCCTCGGGGTGCGACAGGGAGGAGTTACTGATGAGAAAAAGGAATGGAGAAGGAGGAGGAGGAGGAGGAGGAGGACTTCCGCATCCTCTCCCCCGTCCCACCTATGGCAGTGGCGGTGGACGATTGGCCCACCACGAACTGCCTCGTCGACGTGCCTGGCGAGCACCCGGTGTCCGTGTCGTGCCAGCGGGCGCCGCTCAGGACGCCAAAGGGGGCACGGCGGCGAGCGCTGCCGAGGCCGAAACAAGGACGGCCACTGCCCGCCAGCCAGGGGCAGGGCGGCAAGGGCCCGCCGAGCACGAGACCTTCGGCAGGCTCGGTGCGCGGGCGGAGGCCCTGCTGGAGCGACGAGTACTGCGCAGCGGCCTGCAGTCGACCCGTCTCGTGAGGATGCACAGCAAGGGTGCAGGGGCCTCGGAAGGCCACTCTCGAAGCTTCTCGAGCGGGGCGCGGCCAGCGACAGTGGCGAAGCATGGGCCAAGGAGGCAAGGATTCGGGGAACGAGAACTCACGTAAACATCAGAACTCGGAGGTCCGCGCGGAGTTCGTGGATCCGCGCTGGAACCCCCTTGCTGGCGCGCGGAGAGCGCCAGGGGCGGCGGCCGAGGCGCCGCCAAGGGGCCCCGGCGCCGATCCGAGAAATCCCCGCAAACCTCCGAGTTTTTACGTTTGCGTCTTGGCTCGTTCCCCCCAAGGATGCAAGGGTACCCTTGGGAAGGTTGCCCACCCTTACCGCGCGGGTTGACTGTACACCTGGCGCGCCCACCGCAGGGGCCGCCCCGCCTGCCGGCCCGCCCGCGGCTCCGCGGGCTCTCCCAGCTGGGCGCCACGCTCATGCGCGGCGTCGCGGCGGTGCGGAATGCCAGGCCGCCGCCCTGGCCGCCCTGGCCGCTCTGGGCGCGCTCCGGCGGGAAGAGCGCGGCGGCGGTCCATGACCATGCCACTGGAGGAGCTTCCGAGCTGCGTCCTTTGACCTTGCCCTTTAGCTGCTGCCATCCTCCTCATCGGCAGTGGCATCGTCATCGTCATCATGATCATCGTCATTATTATTATCCTCCTCCTCCTCATCATCCTCATTAATATCATCATCCTTCTACTCACCACCTTCATCATCATCAGCACCATCATCATCCGCCTCATTAGCAGCATCATCATCATCATCAACATCATCAGCATAATCAGCATCAGCCTCATCGTCATCATCATCCTCGTCGTCAGCATCACCATCACCATCATGATGATGGTGATCAACATCATCACCAACAAAATCATCACCATCATGATCATCGTCCGCATCATCCCCTGATGATCCGATTATCATTATTACCACCATGGCCACCCTCGTGGTAGCAGCCATTTAAAAACGAATCACGATTATCCTCACCTGCGTGCCCAGTATGATCATCATCATCATCACCACCACCATCATCAGCAGCAGCAGCGACATCGTCATCATCATGATCATCCACATTAACACCATTGTAACTGTCACCCCGAACATCACCAATATCCTCCTCCTCATCCTCATCATCATCATCATCATCTTCATCACATCATCCTGCCCGTCATGATCATCCCCCTTCTCCTCCTCCTCGCCTTCATCTCCAACATCATCGTCCCTCCCCCCCATCCCTCGTCATCCTGCTTCTCACGATTCCGAATCCTCCTCGTCACTTCCTCCTCTTCCTCTTCCTGCATTGCTCTGCCGCTGTTCCTCCCCGTGGAATCTTCACCATCATCCCGAGGTCCTCTACATGCTCACTCCTTCTCGTCGTCCTCCTCCTCACTTGAAATTCCCTCACCCCTTACTCCTTCTCCTCATTATTTTCCCTACCAATGCCCCTCATGATCCGCTTGATATGTCCTCTCCTCCTCCTGATCATCATCATTATCATTAGCATCATCAACTTCATCATCACTGTCTCCATCATCATCATCATCATCATCAGCAGCACCACCATCATCATCACCATCATGTTCATCAGCATCAGCATCAGCATCAGCATCGTCATCATCATCAGCATCAGCATACGTACCATCAGCATCAGCATCAGCATCACCAGCATCATCACCAGCATCATCATGATCATCATCATCATCATCATCATCATCATCATCACCATCATCATCATCCGTATCAGCATCATCATCGTCATCATCATCATCATCATTGTCAACAGCCTCATCAACAACATCATCAGCATCATCAGCATCAGAAGTATCATCAGAACCATCATCCCATCATCACCATCCTCATCAACATCATCATCATGAACATCATTTTCATCACCTTCACCATCATCATCCAGATCACCCATCAACCCTTGCTCTTCGCCATCCCCTCATCATTACAATGAACATAACCAACACGGCAGGTTGTCCTCATCACCATCACGATCATCATGCGAACCTCACCGTCAACCTCATATCCATCCTCATCTCCCCAGTGATGAGCATCTTCCACCTCCATCCCTTCCTTGTCACCATCACGATCTTAATCGTACCTCCTATCCCTTTTCCTCGCCATCATCACCCTGACTACCACACACCACCCCCACCACTCTTCACTCCTATAGATTCCTCCTCCTCCTCGTCACCAGTCCATGTTCCTCCTGCCCCTCCTTGTCGCCATGACCCTCCCCAGTCTCGTCCCATTTGCCATCATCATCATCATCATCATCATCACAATTACTACCATCATCATCGTCGCCATCAAACTCATCACCACCATGATCACCACCATCCTCGACATCGCCATCACAAATATCATCCTGAGCATAACCGTCGTCCTCGTCATCTTCATCCTCCTCCTCCTCCTCCACCTTCCATCCTCGTCTCTCCCTCCCGCCTCCCTCTTTCTCCCCCCCTTCCGCCCCACTTCTCCCACCAGTGCGTCGTTCTCGTCGTCGTCCTCCTCCTCCTCCTCCTTCCCTCCACCCTCGTCCCTCCCTCGCGAGTGGTCGAAATCAGATGCTTTTCTGCTGGCGTCGACACCCTCGTCTCTCCCACCCGCCTCCCGCCCACTCTCCCCCTCTTCCCCCCCCTCTTCCACCCCCCCCCCTCCCCCGGTCCGCCGCCCTCGTCATCCTCATCCTCGTCGTCCTCCCTGCACCCGCTCCCGCCCCTCCCACCTCCATCCCGCCTCTTCTGACGAGGAGGGGCGAAGAGCAGGAGGACGACGACGGACACAAGGAGGGGACAGCAAAAGCAGCAAGACTGATTCATCGCCCCCCCGCGGTCCCCGATGGCAACATGGAGCTCGAATCCCAGCTACACCGGGAGACACCTTCACAACCAACAGTGGAGGAGGAGGGGACCAGAGGGAGGAAGCTCCAACGGGAACACTGGCGAGGTGGCGGGATGGGCCGAAGACAAAAACGTAGGGCAACAAATGTCCCCATTGTCAATGCTGAGTCAGGCAACCGCCAAAGATCTAATACCATTGATCCCTGTTGATGAGCCAGTATACAGACACGGCGACTGGGCAGTGAAATCTAGAGACGCGCAAGCGAACTCCACAGAGGGTTTCCTTTTGCAAAACCACAGAGCCACACTAACAAATCCTCTGGTCCGACTGTATCCTCGGCATGTACAGTGGGGGCAAGTCCACAAGAAACTTCCCACAAAAAACCAGACCCCAGAACGTCCATTGGTTTTTTAGGTGTGGGAACATCACGCTTTCCATAGCAAAACCATCGACACCCAAGAAACCAAGGGCACCCTGGAGGCAAGCAGGGTGCTTCTTGGCATGTCGCCATCGCCTAGGCAACAGCATCATTTTCAAGCAGCGATGTGGCCGGCGCCAGGGCGAGAACGACACGCTCAATGAAGGATGTCGCCAGCGCCAAGGCCACAGCAACATTTTTCATCAGAAACGTGGCTGACGCTCAATCACACATGTGACCCACGCACAGGCGAGAACGGCATGGTCAATTAAGGATGTCGCTGGCGCCTAGGCGATAGCAACATTGCCGATCAGACATGCGGCCCACGCGAGGAGAGAACGACACGCTCAATGAAGGATGTCACTGGCACCTAGGCGACAACAACATGTTTCTAGGCAATCAGAGATGTGACCCACGCACAGGCCGCAGTATCATTCCGAGACAAGCGCGTCGCCAGATTACAAGTGTCACACCCATTCCGCGCGGGCTGGGTTTGGTGTCCCCGACGTCCAGGTGACGTTAGGTGGGTAGTCCACGTTAGGGTGGGTTGTACGTGAAACAATTCGCAGACCGCCACTGGAAAACAAAACTCCCCCTACGACGGATTTCCAACTTACGTTACAACAACATCAAACGGTACACGATTTATCTGAGACATGATCGACACACCGCGCACTTCAGAACGACAAACAATTCACGTGCGACTATCCTGCGATGAAAATCGCTCCACTGAGGCAGCCAACGCCGCGAGCCACACAACCGTAGTCCTGTTGCCCGCGGGGCCTCTTCGCCACGTGGAAGACAAGCATTCGGAAGGTAAAATATTGCTACAAAAGCTGGAGCAGAGCCGATCCGGGAGAACCCGTACTATCTTTGAGGAAGGGTGAGGAGAGCGGGGTGCGAATGACAGGTCCTCTCCCTACTCCCCTCCCTCTTCCTACTACGCAGAGCACCTGCCGCTCTGCCAGGCCAGCCGCCCTCATCGGGCCCCGCAGGCTCGGAAGTCGGTGATGTAGTAGCCCTTGCTGGGAGGCCGCTTTGTCCACGTCTGGGTCATCAAATATGGGGCGAAGCCTGCGTTGACGTAGCCCGTCTCCTGCATGTTGCCCTGCAGATCGGTCGACACCATCTTGCGTAACCCGCCATCCAACCATGAGAAGATCAGGAGGTCGCCGCCAGCATGCTCGCCTTTCACTCCATACGCTTGCACGCCTTGCAAGTTGTACTGGTGAAAATCAGCTTCGAAGCACTGGGAACCAGGGCCCGCCGTGGTGCCTGTAGCCGAATCCGCCGACACCTGTTTGCGGGGTGTGAAATTCAGTGTGAGACATTTGTCCCGTGGCAACTCATGGGAGCCTCCCATACCATCTTGTCGGCTCTTGCGAATCGACGCTGGTCGACGCTAAATCGACGCTAGATCGACGCTAATCGACGCTAGTCGACGCCAAATCGGCGCTATCTCATCGACTCCCAGACGCTAATCGACGCTAGTCAACACGAAAGACATAATGACGAGGGTACACACGGCTCCCATGATTTGCTACTGAAGCATGTGGCTGTCCCCCTGGACAGCCCAATGCGGAGGTCCCCAAGACGGCCCAAGAGTGCTTCCAGAGGATCGCTGAGACGGCCCCTAAGAGAGCCCCAAGACGGCCAAGGAGGGTCCCACGACGGCCCCAGGGGCCCCCAAGATGGCCCAGAGAGGCCCACGAGTGCCCCAAGAGTGGCTAAAGAAGTCGAATACGAGTTAACATTTCGAGCCGTTCCCCCCAAGATAGCCCCAAGAGACTCCCAGAGGCACCCAAGGCGCCCCCAAGAGGCCCCAAGAGGTCTCCAAGAGGCCCCCAAGAAACCCACTAGAGCCTCCCAAGAAGCCCTCCCCAAACAACAGATGCCACAAAGAGCCGTCCAAGATGCACCTGAGAAGCATCCCACGAGCCCCACAAATATCCTCATATGCATCCACGAGGCTCCTGACCCACGAAATAACTTCCATGATCGCCGCAAGCTCTCGCTCCTTCTGGGGGTCCGCGGAATCGTGCAAGCCACTTGAATAACAAGTGTACTTGTAACTTGGGCCCATTGCGCCTTCCACGCACACGCCTTGTGCAATAGAGTTCGTTTGTGGCGACCCGCTACAGTCCTCGTTGAAGAAGAGCTGGCTACTGATATCCCCGGACACACCCGAGGGGCACGAGAACTTCACGGACCACATCGGATTGTCCACTGCTGTCTGGCAGTCTCCGGCCCAGAACACTTCCGAGTAACCACCACATTGCTGGCGCTGCACGTACCACTCTTGGCCCACGGTGCGCAGCGCCGCGATCGGCCCCTGGCCCTGCCCGCGCGAGCGGCCGAGCGGCATCTGCACCAGCGAGGCCGCCCCCTCCTCCTCCTCGGGTGGGCACTGCTGGGCGTCGGAGGCGATGGCGCCCGAGAGTGCGGCGAGTGCCAGCAGGATGGCAGGCCAACAGGCGAGACCGCTCCGCGGCATCGCGCTCGGCGACCACCTCCCACGCGCTGCGGCGGCCCAGGCTCTGCGCCTGGCACTCGATGGCTGTCAGAAGCGCGCAGCCACCCCATACCATAAGGATGCGCGGTAAGGACGCAAGGGCCTCGGAGGCACATGTGGAAGTTTTTCGAACGAGGCTGGCCAGCGAAAGTGGCCAAGGAAGGGCCGAAGGGACATGGATGCAAGGGTACCCTTGGGAAGCTTGCCCATCCTTATCATGCGGGTTGACTGTACGGCTTAGGCCAAAACTTGAGCCAGAACACCAAGATAGCAGTACCGTTGTTGAGCGGCCTTCGAGTGATGCTGCAGGCCTCCCTGAGGCTGCCTGGAGCGGTCGGAGAGGGCGGTGAACGTCCAATGTTTGCACAACCTGTGGGAAATCAGACATCCTCCCTGTCGGGGGGTCTGTGGATCATTCTCCTGAAGCTCTGCCGAGGCTTCGGCAAAGTCCCTTCGACGCTCTTGGTGCATCATTGGCCTCTTGGGCCGACCTCGGCCGTCCTGGAGCGTGCGTCGGGCTCCCAAGGGGCCCCCCAGACGGTCCTGGGCGGGCCCCCCGGAGCCGCGGGATCCCCCGCGGCGCCGTGGCCGCCTCCACGCCACGCCGTCGACGACGCCGCCCGTCGTCGCCGCCCGCCGCCCGCCGCCGCCGCCCGCCGCCGCTTGGCGCTGCGGAGGCGCGGACGCCTCGGAGGGCACGGGCCGCAGATCGGACTCACGGCCGACCCGTGGCGGCGGCGGCCCACCGACGCTCTTCGCGGGCCCAGGTGTACTCATGAGCACGTCGCGGGCTCCGCCCGCGCGGGCAGCGCTCATCACAGCATGGCTCGCGCATCGAGCCAAAACCGCGTCGAGGGGCCGACCGAACGAAAGCCTCCGACTGCAAGCGACACGAACTGGCGGCGAGCCCCTGGAGAAGCGGGAGGGGGGCATGCAACCGAACAAATGGTCAATACAATATCGTTCAATCTGGGACAGCTTCCCGGAAACTTCTTAAAAGAAGCCTGGGCCAGTGTCTGTTGTTCGCGCTGGAGGGGCGAACGTGCTCAAGAAACGGTGCCAGCGTTCTGGCGAATTGGTCAGGGAATGCTGACTCAGCTCTTCGGCAGGAGGTTTCTGAATCAGCTGCTCGACCGTAGCACGATATGGGGTCACGTCTGGGAATCCAGGCCGCTGTGACACCCATCAACGGATAGAGATGAAATCAGCGCAACGGGAAAGGGACATGGGTAGGAGGTGTGGGATGCCAGATATGGCGCGAGCACGCCTAGCTATGAGTCGGGCAAGTCCTCCCACAGGCGGAGGTTGAAAGAAAAATGGAACACAATCAAAAAAGATTCAAGCATAGCTTAAAATGATCGGAAAATCGTCCCAAGCCTATTTTTAACTACTCCTCCTCTGGAGGGACATGCCCGACTGAAGCCTAGCCTGCGCCGGCCCCCTCTGGCTCACGCCCCCCGCGTTCGGCGGCGAGCTCACGGGGGAAAGTGCGAGGGGGCAGGCTTTCTCAGAGGGCGGCGGGGCCAGCAGCCCTCGCGCTGTCTTTTGGAAGTCTCTGGAGAGGGCGCGGGGGGCTTCTGCGGGCGCGAGGGCTCCTGAGAAGCTTCGCGCGAGGGCCTCTTGGAAGACACAAAAAAACTTCGCAGAAGGCGCGGGGCTTCGGAGACGCCCCCGCCCCACCTTCTGCCGCCTCTTGCTCCCTCCACCCCTTGGCCTCGCAGCCGAATCGCACGGGCGAGAGGCACATATCATTAAGCAGACGGGTTCCGGAAGGAGAGTGCCGTGGACTTTTTCGTTGGGCCCGGGGCCTTGACGGGCCCCGAGACCATAAGCCAACGACTCATGAGGAAGAGATGGTCCAGGGGAACGCCCTGGAATCTAGCACCCGTTTGCGGCTGGACTCTTCTCCGTCATTGCGATCAGCCTCGCCACCGAATCCCACCGCGTTGTGGGACATCCAGACAACATCTGTAATTGCATCTTCTGCTTGTTCGGCCCCTCACCGAGCCCAGGGACCGCCAAACAACTACTCAGGATGAGACGCCGCTAACGGGAGAGCGGTCGAGACCTCCAGGGGTCCATGCTGCGGACGAGAAAACATGTTGGGCGAAACACGGGGCATTTTCTCTGGCGATATGCCCCGCATGAATCGTTTTAGCTTGCCTCTACTCTCTCCCCTGATGACGTCCAGGAGATATCCGGCCCCCTTCCGCGTATTGTTTTTTAGACACAGGATTTCCGGGAGTTGGGTTTTCGCTTGGGCTTTTGTTCGAAGAGTTGCTCCCGCTGAAGCGCTGGCCTCATTTTCGGCCTTCCGCTCGTTCCGAATCGCGTTCCCGCTGCAACGCTGGCCTCATGTCCGCGCTTTCGCTCGTTCCGAATCGTGCTCCCGCTGCGGCGGTGGCCTCTCATTTCCTTGCTTTCATCTGCGTTTTTGGCAAGCCGATCCTTCTCGGTCCTTCAAAATGCTGCTCCCGCTGCT